ATTAGCTGGGCATAGTGGCACATGTTTGTAATCCCAGCTACTCAGAGGTTCAGGCAGGAGAATTGCTTGAACCTGGAGGAGGTTGCAGTGAGCCGAGATTGCACCACTGCATTCCAGCCTGGGCTAACAGCCTCAGAAGAGAAGAAAAGAAAGGAGAGGAGGGGAGGGGAGGGGAGGAGAGGGAGAGGAGAGGGAGAAGAGAGGGAGAGGAGAGGATAAAAGAAAGCAAAACAATGTATCTGAGGCGTGGGTGACTACTGCATAACAGCAGCCATTCTTTCCTGGTGATGTCTGGAAAGGCTTCAGAGGGCAGGCCAACCTGAGCTCCTCCTGCCCTCTACCGAGAGATGGCTGCAGCCTCCGCCCTGGCCTGCACTAGCAGGGAGGGATGACAGAGGCCGGACGCGGTGGCTCACGCCTGTAATCCCAGCACTTTGAGAGGCCGAGGCGGGAGGATCACGAAGTCAGGAGATCCAGACCATCCTGGCCAACAAGGAGAAACAGCATCTCTACTAAAAATACACAAATTAGCTGGACGTGGTGGCGGGCGCCTGCAGTCCCAGCTACTCCGGAGGCTGAGGCAGGAGAATGGCGTGAACCCGGAAGGCAGAGCTTGCAGTGAGCCGAGATTGCGCCACTGCACTCCAGCCTCGGCAACAGAGCGAGACTCCGTCTCAAAAAAAAAAAAAAGACAGAGGGACGACAGGACCAACAGGGAGCTGCTGCTGTCCCCCAGGCCTCCCCTGCTCAGATCTCATTTGCCATTCATGACTCGTAGCTCAGATGGGTGGAAGGCGCCCTCTGAGGCATCTGGATTCAAAACTCCATGAATGAAGACAGCGCTTGCGTTCTCTTTCTTCTCATGCATGGTCAAAAACGCAGACTGTCCAAGATGGCGCACACTCAGGGTTTCGGTCAGGGATGATCAGCCCCTTCATCGGTGATTTTCATCCTTATGTCAGCTAGTGCCTCCTCTGAAATAGCCTAGAGACTTCATGCTATTGCCTCTGCCTTCCCCAGCATCCCTATTTCACAGGGCAGCTTGGGGAAGAGGGGCACTGAGGAACAGGGCTGAGACTCCTCTGATGTTTGTGGTCACAGTCTGGCTCGGTTCTGGTTGGAAGGGCAGTTCTAGACCAGCCTGGCCAACATGGTGAAACCCTGTCTCTACTAAAAATATAAAAATTAGCTGGGTGTGGTGGTGCACACCTGTAATCCCAGCTACTTGGGAGGCTGAGGCAGGAGAATTACTTGAACCCAGGAGACGGAGATTGCAGTGAGCGGAAATCCCACCACTGCACTCCAGCCTGCAGACAGAGTGAGACTCTGTTTAAAAAAAAAAAAAAAAAAAAAAATCTACCACAGTGCTCACATTCTGTTATTCTTGTGTGCGTTTTTAAAAAAAGAAAAAAGAAAAATGGCCTTATCAAGGACAAGGGTTTTGGCATTTGTGCAAAGCCTGAGGTTTTAGGAAAAAGTCATTGATGAAGAGATGCTGGCAAGACTCTCCATTTACAGTAACCTGTGACTAGAAATGTCTCATGATGGGAGAAAAATGTGGAATCCAGGAGAATAAGTGTGAAGGTGGGTTTATGTGGGGCATTTTCTTTTTTGTCCAACACCTCAGATCTGTAACCAAACCAGCAAAAGCAAGTATGTCTCAGGAAAAATTTCTGCTTGTTACCAAGCTTCCTGGAAAATTGCATTTGGAGAGCTATGACGGCATGGCCGTGAGTAATTTGCTTTTTAAATAGTTCTGTTAGTTGGTCTACATTGTGTTTTTCGTTCCACCAGAGCCGAAGGTGGTGTTTCTTTTGTTTATGGTATTAGTGTTATATTATTGGTGATCTCATTGTTCTTGTTTGTGACATATTTACCTCAGTAGGACAGTTATTGTAGAAGGGAAGTCGGGAGCCAGTCTGCCCACCAAACCTGCAGAACTAAAGAAAAAGACTCCAATCTGTCCCGCAGGGTGCATATTACTCCTCTCTTGGATTGTTAAATTCTAATTATAGGCTGTTGATCCCCATTAGAACCATTTGTAAGCCTAAACACTGTTCTGCAGCATCTTTTGCCAATAGGTGTGTTTCATTTCGATCGTTGTATAAAACATAACATTTGTGCTTTTGGGGGACTAGAACACGTTAGTGTTCTCTGGCAAAGTTGGACAAGAAATAGGCAAAATATGACTCAAAACTAAGATAGGGCAAACAAAAGTGCACTTTGCCTTGATGTTTATTTATTAGGGATTTCTGAAACCCTAGGACTCTAGAGCTCACCTTTCAGATCTCAGACCTCAGATGCCACATCCTCAAGGAAGCTCTCCTAGACTGCCCACCTCCACATTCTTGGGACAGCAGGGACCTCCCCCAGCCCTTCCTAGCACTTGACACAGTGGATCATTTCACAGGACTGGGGGGATTATTTAACTGTCTTTCCACTAGATGGAAAGTTTCAGAGGAATCCTGTCAGGATTACAGACACCTAGTATAATGCTTAGCACACGGTAGGCATTTAATAAATTTGTTGTGTAATGCCTGTGTACTGTTTTATTTGGGAATCTTCAGAAGGTAAGAAAAACAAATGGATACATTCATAATAAGTATGAGATGTGGAGAGCAAGCAAGTCAGTAGATTACAAGATAGAAACAAAATTCATAGGATGTGTTAAGTAGAAGAGGGGATGAATAAGATGGAGCTGTGAGACTCAGGATGAATTCACAGAATTCACATGGATAATGAGTAAATCAATAACCTGTGAGAGATGTTGAAGACAGATACAGTAAGTGGAACATATGATAGAACCAACCAGAGTGCTATGGACCAATGGAGAGACATTAAGAGACCAAGTTGTAAGATACATTCATGCTACTTCAGGGCTGGCAGCTATCTGATTGCCAAAATCAGCCACTCATCCATCAGTGACACCCATTATGGTCCCAGTTGTGTTCTGCCCAAGAAGTACAGATAAACAGAGAGAGCTGTTCAGGAGGCTAATGGATGCTCCTGCTGTGGCCAGGAGAACTTGCCCCTGGCTCTCCAATAGCAAAAGGGTGTATCGTTGCCTTGGGCACCTTCTTTCTGTTGGTTCGTTCACTCACCCTCAATTATGGTCCTTGTAACCACATCATTAAGAGAGAAAGTTAATATGGGTGGGAGGGAGAGAGAAACATGTGAACATTGCTTATTAAATGCCCCAGGATTCAGGAAGGGGACTTACCACCTGCTTCTGTGGTATATGTGTTAACCTACCCCATCTTTTTCTTCTTGCTTCTCCCTGTGTGTTTAAAAGGTATTCGACAATCTGTGTGATTCAAGTATCTTAACTTGATCTTTCTATTCTATCACCTCCAGAATAATTTGTCTGGTAGCACATTTGGAGGTTAATTTCCTATACAGCATATTGAAATAGTGCGTTGTGAATTAGCTACTATGACTGCTGATTAGGGTGAGGGTTAGGGTTAAACTAGTTTCTGAATCTAGCTACTCCCGCCTACCATAAAAACCACCTGCATTCAACAATTAGCCATTGCGTTAAGTGCTAAAGATACAATGATGAGAAAACAGCCATGATTCCTGCCCTCATGAAGTTTAGAACAGAAGAAAGACCATCTGGTAATCACACAAATAAGTGACAAATAAATCTAACGTTTTAACCAGTGATAAACCCTCTGAAGAGATAGTACACCGAGGTCCTCTGAGAGCATATGCCAGGGGAATTTGACCCATTCAGAGAGAGTTAATTAAGCTAAGGGAAAAGGCATAAATGTCTCAGGCAGAAGGAATTGGCTGTACAAAGGCCATGTGATGGGATGATGTCATCAACCATTCATTCAGCAGTCAGCACTGACCCCGTGTGCCCGGCCTCATGCTACAGGCAGGAATACGAGGGAGAAAGACCAGCGCTGCCCCAAGAAAAGCCCAAGACGACTGTCGGACCTAGGAGGATCCTTGGAGAACTTCAAAAGGTTTCACATTGCATGGAGGAAAAGACTAGAGCCTTATAAGATAAGACATCACTGAGAGTTCAGTTGTTAATCCTGGGAGGGGTGGACTTATGAATGGTCACTGGGTGTGGTGCATCCCTGGCTCTAGTCTTACCCTCCATGCAACTTGAAAACTTTTGATGCCCCAACTCAAACCTAATTTTCAAGCCTTCATTAGCTAAAATCTTACCGAATTCCAGCTTTAGAAGAAATAAATAAGATACTATTCCCGGGCTTATGCCAAACTCTTTACATGCATTGTTTTGTTTTTTGATCTTTGTAACAACCATGTGAGATTGCACTAAACTGACACTCAGAGAGAAGGTAAGTCATGCCCCCGAATCATTCAGCTAATAAGTGAAGAAAAAAAAAAAAATCAAGATCCAAACCCAGGTCATTCTGGCCCTAGAGCTGAATGAAATTCAGTGAACACCAAGCTCTAGCCAGGAATTGTGGTTACAATAAAGCTGCTGCCGACTGGATACTCCAGGGTGTTTGTGGGTATTTCTTGGTATTCTGGTTGTGTTGGTGCTATTGTAGTTTTGGTAATGTGGTCATCTCTTGACAATACATGCTGAAAATGCTTGCAGATTAAATGTGGCAATGTCTAGGTTTTACTTGCAAATAATCTGTGTGAATGGGGGAAGCAGTGTGTGTGTGTGTGTGTGTGTGTGTGTGTGTGTGTTTTGAGAGTTGGGGAGGCAGAGCCCGTGGGGAGGAGGGGAGGAAATAGATTGGCCTTGGTTATTGGAGGTTGAGACGGGCGTATGAGAGTTGATTATAATACTCTCTTTTCTTTCGTATATGTTGGAAATTTTCCGTAAAATGTTTTTTTCAAAAACAAGTAAGTTCTGGGTTATGTTTTGAGGGCCTACTCCTTCATTTCCAAATCCCATAGAATTTCACAATTGTATTTTCCCCCATAATTGGAAGTTCTATGGGGCTGTTTCAAAAATCTGAGTCATCAAAGATGTAATCGACTTCCTACCGCTGGATTAGCAAACAAAAAGGTACCTGATACTTTGTCTTCCGGCGCTGTGTTGGGCTCTGGGCTGAAACCCAGTCTCTCACAGGCCCTGGGAACAGTCCCACCAATTAAGATCCATCCCTGATTTCCGACTCTGTAACTGGGGACAAGTTAATTAACTCCTCTTAGCCCTTAGTGTCCTCATCAATTATTACGTGGTAATAACCCCTCCAGAGTCGCGGGGAGAATTAGCTCGGAGCGGTGCATGGGGCTAGAACTCAGGGACCAGCGGATCTGACAATGCAGGTTTCCCGCTCGCCTCTTGGGTTTTTGAAACGCCCTCAGCGGCGTTTTCTTCCTAATTCTGGTTCGGAGGAGCCATCTCTCTCCATCGCGTCTGCCAGCGGGGTTTGCTTCACACACAGACGTGGGCAGATGGCATCGGGGGCACACGTGTGAAAGCCGAGAAGGTTGCGGCGCATTCGCGGTTTGGTTCACAGGACGCGGGCGTGGGGTTGGTGGGGTGGGATGGGTGTGCGGGGTGGGATGGTGTCGGGGGTCGCAGGGGACAAGAGGGTGTTTGGTGGTAATTGGGAGTCCCGGGGATCTTTGTAAAATTTGGATGCCTACAGTATTCCACCCCTGAACTTGAGTGGGCTTTGGGTTTTTGTTTATGTGGGGCTTTTCTCCTCTTGTCAAGCACAGCGCTTGCCCCCAGCGGCCTGGCGTCGGGCTGCAGCCGGCAGAGGGAGGGAGGCGACCGGCATCCGCGCTCGCTGATCAGGGAGTGCGGGGCCTTCTGCTGGGAAACGTGGAGGGGCTCCGGACAGCCGCGCGCCCTGGCGGGTCACGGAAAGCTCTGAGGGACATTCGGTCGGTCTTCCGGGACGAGACTGGCCGCAGCAGCGCGAGCTGGGGGTGCTGGCGGAGCAGCGAGGGGGGCAGGATGAGAGGGGATGGAGCCCCGAGGGCGGGTACGCGCTCGGCTTCCTGCCGCCAGGGGGCGCCCACGGGCAGAGCCGGGCGGGGCGGCAGCTACAGAAAGAGGGGTGCGTGGAAAGCGACTAGGCCAGGCCAGGCCAGGAGGGCGCAGCCCCCGCGCGGTGTCTCCAAGCTCTCTCCAACTAGTGTTGGGTCACCCTCGGCTTAGCCCCAGGGGAGGACGAAAGGGTTGGGTGCAAGGCCTAGCACCTAGTGGCCATTCATTAAATACGTGCTGGCTGACGAGCTCAGGAACGGCTCTAGGGAGCAGCTGGCTCAGAAACCTGAAGTTCAAGCCCACTCATTCCCGTCTCCGTCCCCGACGGCCTTTTAGTTACCGTGCCCTGGGCTGCGACGGCTTCCTTTTGGAGTAGGGTAGCAAGTGAGCCCCCGCGCAGCGAGGACACCGACTGGGCGGCGGGGACAGGGGTGTCCGGAGGTATCCCCGCTCCGTGTCCTCGCCTTCGACTGCCTCACCGGTACACAGCAGTCATGGCTTCGACTGTGACTTCTTAACTGGCTCCTCCCTGATGGCTGAGCGAAGCCACGGGAGAAAGGCAGGAGGGCTTCCTTCCCATGACCTTAGTCCAGGCGCCTGCCCGAATCGTGCTCGGGTGGATAAGTCTGATCTGAGCACCACAGGGGCCGGGCGCCTGGACCAAGGGGGTTCGCCAAGAGGGTCTCAGAACAAGCTCGGAGTCTCTGGAACTAGCTGGGGTGCGTGGGAGTGCGCGCCACGGCCCGCGATTTCCGGGAGCGTGTCTCGACTTCTGCCAGTGCCAACGCAGGAGAGAGAATTGCAGCTCAGAGAGGGCAGCGGGAATGGAAACTGAAGGGCAAGAGCTTGGCTCTCTAATGCCACCCAACTTAGTGGTTCAGAGCTTGGCCTCAAAGGAAGATTCAGTTCAAGTCCCCGCTCTCCCACTCACCAGCTGTGTGATCTTGGGGGAAGTTAACCCCTCTGAGCCTGTTTCCTGCTCTGTAAAATGGAAATTTAAAAACTTAAACATCTACTTCTGTTGAGGCTGTTGTGAAGAAGTGGGATTGTGGGTGCATAGCTCTTAGCACTGTGCCTGGCACAGGTTAAGGCTGGGTACGTGGCACCTGTGAGAACCAGTGTTCTCGTAGCTGGCCTGGCCAGATGCAATCATAAGCGAAGATGACTCACTTCCCCAGCAAAGGTGTGCGAAACCCTGCGCATGCTGCTGTACTCTGCACCCTGGCAGAAGAGAACCCAGGAGGGTCGGGACCTCCAACACTCAGCCCTCAGGGCTGAGGACACTGCGCTGTTTCTGCCCCTCCTAAACCCGGAGGCCGAGATGCCCCTGTGCAGTATGGCTGGCACCCACCCTACAAGCTGATTCCTGGGGAACTGTCCTGCAGCAGACACCGGCAACCATCACTGGCGACCTTGACTGAACACATGTGGGCATCCTAAGGACATTATCTCAATCCTCACACCATTCCTGAAAAAAACAAAGAAACTGGTGCTCAGAGAGGCAAAGTAACTCACTCAAGGTCACACAGCCGGAGAGTGGCCAAGCTGGGACCCCAACCCACTCTGGCTCCGGAGCTGGCGCCACTTCCTTCCTTCCTCTCCATCAAGCTCGGTCCCAAAGCCTAGGACAAACCATCCGATTGGGGTAGGAAAGGCCACACGCGTCCTGGGGTCGAGGACCCTGTGCCCACGACGGCAGTCTTGCTCTCGGCAACCGTAGAAGCCAGTGCCAGACAAGTTGGGTTGGAAGGGGCGCGCTGAGCTGGCGGAAGGGGGCTCTGGGCCCCGCCCTGCCCGCGCCCCCGCGGATCGCGCCTCGGTGCTCTGGCTCCTGCCAAGTTTGCCCCCATCTCTCAGGCGTCCTTGGACTGGACCTCTGCACCTCTCCAGCCTGGGGTGCACGGAGGGGCTGGCCCTGATTGATACCCACTTCCTTTCTTCTCTGGAAAGCCCAGGTGCCAACGAAAGGTGCCCTGGAAGCTGGTGTTGCTTTAAGAATGAACAGTCCCAGCTCCAAACCAGTCTCTCTGAACACAAGCCTCTTCCTTCCGTTCGCCCGGGCCAGTAGTCGAAGTCTCCCTGGGTCTCCAGCCCCCTCCCGGGTAGACGTCAGTCGGGACCTGGGCCCCGGAGTTGAGAAAGGGTGCGGACCATGCTGGGGACCTAGCTCAGGCAGTCGGGGTCCGGGTCCCCTTTGGGGAAGTGAGCGCTTGAGGCAGAGGGAGAAAGGCTTTGAGTACGGCTTGGGGGGCTTCTTGAGACCCCCGGGTATAGCTTCTCTGTCAGGCCAGGAAAGGAGAAAAAATCTGTCCCGCGCAACCCAGGGAGGAGCCTTGCAGCTGCGGAGGGGGGCAGTTTCAGAGCTGGATACCAGGGGGCAGTGCTGCGCAGCGAATCTGCCGGGCTCCAGTTTGCAGCCCGGGGCAGCACGTTTACCGAATTCCCTTCGTCTCTCAAAGCCGCTGCAAAGTTCCTCTCAGAGTGCTCCTGACGCCAACAGCCCCCTCGCCCCGTAACATGCGAAAGAGGGCACGGTCCTCTCCCTCCGCGCGTTGCAGTTGGTGCGGGCGTCCTGGCTGTCTTTCCTTGGTAAAGGCAGCTACCCCCGGCTTGGTTTTTAACCACTGACTTAGCCCTAGGGAAACGTAAGGTGGGGTGGCGGGGTGCCCCGTCGGGTTTTTGCAGGCCGTGTGAGCAACCTCAGATTAGAGGTTGAGGGGACTTTCTCAGCCTGGGCTGGAGCTCCCGAAAATGCAGGCGCCGCCCTTGAGATGAAAAAAAGGCACTGGAGATGGGCCGCCTGCATTTGATCGCCTTCCAGATTTACGTAGAAATGCATCCGAGGAAAGGTCTGATAGAAGGCAGAGAAGGTGGAGGCCCACCCCCGCCCAAGTAGGAGCCATCCCAAAACTACAGGTGCGAAGGGGGCTGAACCTTATCTCCAGGACGGCGCCAGGCCCACTGCACCCCCAGAATCGGTGTTGTTTGAGGAATGTCTTTCTATTCTACAGGAGGCTGTGTCCATGCTTAAAATGTGCAGAAGCAGTGAGCAGACGTGACCCGGTGACGTGCACGGGGCTTTTCCCACCCACGGGGCTAGGAACTCCACTCCCTGTCCCGTCCCGGGGAAAGAGACCGAGCACTTCGGGCTCTGGGGCCAAAAGTGAGCCCAGGAACTTGGTGAAATAGAAACCGGACATATTATCTTTGGACTCGGCCTCCTTTTGCTGGGAGTTTTGTTTTTGGTTTCTCTCTCTTTCTCTCTCTCTCTCTCTCTCTCTCTAATAGCGCTTTGCAATAAATAAAATAAAAAGGCATGTCTGTGTGTGAATGCTATGGCCGTTTGTTCTTTGAAGAATTCACACTTTAAAATTGCTTTCTGTGAGCGCAGAGGAAGAACATATAAACCACCGTTATGTAATTTGAAACCATCAATAGCCCCCTTTTAAGGTTGTCTTTATTGTGAGAAGTCAAGGTAATGATTTTGTCGCTGTCTAATTTCATCCCAATGTATGGCGTTGCTTTTATAGCCTTTCAAAGGTAAGTGAAAGGCATCAATCTAGGGCCCTTTTTTGTGGCCGATTAACAGTTTAAACTGGTTTTCTAACCCTGTCACAACTATTGGGCTGATAAACAGGATTTCTGCGGAGGCATTAGCAAGTCTGTAAATAGATCATTAAAAAAAAAAAAAAAAAAAAAAAAACACAGCACCTCAGGCAATTCTGAGTTCCTCTGACAAAAATAAACCGTAAGTCCACAGAGGTGTATGTGTGTATGCATGTGTGTGTTTCTCACCTCCAAGAAGAGGTAGTTACAAATGACTTCTCAAGAGTTATTTGTGTCCTGGTTATTATTATTACTACTATTGTCATAATCTTAGGAGAAAGTGAGCAAGCTGACGACACAGGGATGGAAATCAATGAGCTTGTGGGTTCTGCATTGACTCTACCTTATTGTAGGAAATGTCCCCCTTTAATCATTGGGTAAGCCTGGCGCTGCTGCCAACCTTCTTTGACATAGAAAGGTCCAAAGAGAAATATCCTATTTTATTGCAAGGGTTCCTTGGAAGAAGATACTTTATGTGGGACAACTGCTGAAGAAACGACAGACATGAAGGCAAGCTTGACACCAACATAGGGATACCCGTCCGTCACCTTTGATCTCCCCTCC